CGTGAACCCTGGTCATAGCCCGTCCTGACCACCCTAATAATTTACCCACTGCCATGTTCAGGCCTTCCCTATGGATGGAATCGAATAGGGATAACGGGCCGTGACCCACCAAGCGGCCCCCGGTGTGGTTTGGTGGGTATTAAAGGCTGCAGTTACGGCCGGGAACAAAGACGTAACGTGACTTACAAAGGACGGAAGAGTTCGAGATAATCAATTTATGCTCACCCGTCTTATGACCGGGAATTGCGAAAGTTGCTTAACAACCGTATCGCAGACCGAGTGTTACTATAAGTTTAGTAGGAAAAAAAGTTAATTTATACTTAATTAAGGCTTACAAACATTTGTAAAGCAAGTCTCACCAAATCCGTTCACTAGTTTTTGCAATGAAAAAGTAACAAACGTACATCCTCACAAACTTTCGCATTTATTATATTAGAAGGATATCTCTGATGTGTCGAATCTAAATAGCATTTTTACATTGTTACAACACTACGACCACCCAAATGTATTTTGACAAGACACCAACGTGGGTTTGACAGTGGGCGAAGTAGTGACACGAAGATAATGCCATTTAAACTTTATTACGAAAGCAATAAAGTTATTAATGGTGAAGCCAGTCGAATGTTAAGGGTGATCAAAAAGATTTGGTCATTACATCCACATAAGGTTACCGTTGGAACGTGTAGTCGAGTAGTAAATAACAACTTTTATTTATATTACTGAAATCGATTACGTCATTTCTGGAACGATGTGTGGGATGGGCGGTTAGAAGAAATTACATTAAAATGATAAGCCAAAGTAGCCACCTAGATTAAGATTATGGATTATTGATGAGCTATTGTATCTGGCAACGTCGGAGCTCGTAGGTGGGTCATAGTCCATTTTCCCTATTTTATTTAAATCCATCCATAGGGAAAGCCTATCCTCCAGCAGCGGAGACTTCAATAGATCAGTAATGAAAATGGTTCCAATTTTTCATAGGTTTAAACAGAAAGATGCACATTCCTGCTCTGCATAACACTAACCGTAATCACTAAACGTGTTATTATATCGACTAATGAAAGTATCTTTATACTTTCGCGTAGAAGAATAACCAAAATGCGCTGGATATCGGATATACGTCATCAAATTCTTTTGCATGAGTAATATCCTTAGGTCACAGGTTACGACAGCGACGGCGAGACTCGCGCATGACTCACTGATGATAACATCCTTTGTTATACATAACTATTTGTTAAACTTAATCGTAAGTAAGCCAACCTAACCAAGCAGTTGCATAACTCGACCTAAAGTGAAATTCAACTGCTATACGTAGAACACAATTAGGTTAGCTTTGCTTGTGCAATAGGGTAACTTATGAAGGGAGGCAAATCTTGGATAGTCGGAATGATACAAGTTAAGCTTAGACTGCACTAGACGTCTGACCCTGAACTTAGCGGTTTTTAACACATATCTTTGTATACAAGCACACTTATTAGGGGACTAGAAACTCGAGCCGTAATGTAAACAATACAGCTTTGCATTTACAGCTACACCTAAGGCTGTCGTTAGCTAAATTACTGAAGCCGGACAAACAATTTAAAAACTCCAGACATTTACGTGAAATTGTTTTATTACCGGACACTAGAATTACTAAAAAAAAAAAACAAAAATATTGATTTCGATCGTACACTGATTTCGGCTATTTTGCAGTGCCCGATTTTGCTTACATGCAGTATACGATTACGAACTGATTTTTAAGTATGATTTGTTAAGCAATAAGTTAAAACAAATCATATTAATAATTCTTTCAATTAATAAGGATTCCTCTGATATAAAAACAGAGTACTCTCCGGAGGACTCGAGATCCGACAAGGAACCCGCCGGATCCAACCCTAGCAAGCTAAACGACCTAAACCAGGTTCAAAAATACAGTGGCGAATTAATTTTAACAATGATTTATTGTATATATAAACAGTAAAATATATCAATTAATTATCATGAATCCACATCCCTATAAAAATAAGAACGAAGAAAAAAGAACAAGCTTTCATTACCAGCAAAAAGGTTTCATTCATTTGGCATTTCTTTCATCAAAGAAACATATCGAATGTCATACAATTACGGTATTCCAACCCTTATCAGTATTAATATAAGGATTTTCATTGATCCCATCATTTGTGCACATGTTTGTAACACTTTCATATCACAAAGGATTATTTGTTTGTGTCTGACTCACTTTATCTTTGTTCTTTGTTGATTGATATCACAAGGTGATTACATCCCGCCTTCTTACTCATCCATATTTTAGAATAAATAATCTGGGGGCACGGAGGGGCTCCCGCCAAGTCGAGAAAAAAGTAAAAAAGGCACGCCCGTACCATCTTTTTCTCGAAGCCATTCGAGCCATTTTTTGACCCCTATAACTTCGTTGTGAAGTAAATTTCGCAAGCTTAAATTTCGTTGACCAAGAGGTCAGTACATATCGAAGCACATTTCCAAATTACATTAAATTTGTCTTTAATAATTATTGCAAGTTAAATTCCCTATTTTTGTTAGTGATTTTAATTTACTTAGAGTAAATATGCACTATGAGGTAATTATTCACGCATAGCACAGTGTGAAAAACACACTGTTTGAGATATTATTTCGACATCTAATATTATAAAATGGAAAATTTTCATTGTTTAATTGCATTGAATAGGCTCCGAAACTACCGGATCGCTTTTAAAAATTCTTTCACCGAAGAAAGCTACATACATCATACGCAGGATATTGGCTTTAATATATCCGGGGAAGTCGGGAGAAAATAATTCGTCCCTATACAAATAAATTAATATGTAATCCAAGTATTTTTGGCACTAAGGGCCCATAAGCTATATAATAGAAAAATTAGTTAACAATTCGTGGAAAATTTGGTGAACATACATAACAGTTATTTTTAATTTCCCCTCACCCTCCGCCACAGGTCCATAAGCTCGTCGTTCAACGATTCTCGAAAGACTCGGTACTATAAAAAACCGTCATCACGTCGAAAATAGAAACAAATCCTTTTCGATTTTGAAGTCGATTAAAATAAGTAGAATTAATAACCTCTTCAATGTTCTAAATTTGAAAATTCTATCAGTAATATCGCTTTACGTCACATAATTCCAATAGTTATATGTTCGACGGCGATGTATATTTTTTTTAATGTATGTCCACCAACATGTCCGCCAATTGTAGACCAATTTTCAAAATTCTTTATTATTCGACAGCTTAATGGACCAACCTGATCCCATTTCAATTTTATCAAAATCGGAACTGAAGTTTTCCTTTGTTAGTAGCTTTAGAAATAGGTATTATGTATCTTATTTTTTAAGTTTTTATTATTGTTTGTCTGTCTGTCGGGATAATTTTTTTATTAATCATTAAATGAAGATGACTCATTGAGCTGAAATGTCGCAAGATGTCACACCTTTGTACATTTTCTATATAGCTGTGATTTTTTGTTAAATTGAAGCAAAAAATACGTATCTAATTATTCTATATTATCTGACTGACAGACTAAATATATTTTTTTTTACGCAGGAGTAATCTCTATTTTAAAGGACGTTTGTGTAATTGGGTGATAGCAAATAAGCTTCCTGTAAACAAAACAATTTGCAGAGCATATTATTGTGATCGTGATCGATCAATTGTCAGTCCTCGTAAAATACACATATGTTCGTGACACACGCGCATCTATGGGAGAGGAATAATAATGTGACCAAACGCTTGATATGAGGAACTATAAAACTCATAAAACTCGCTCGTTTCTAAGAATGAACTGTGACGTAATAGCAAAAAAGACAAAATTAATTGATGTTATAAATACCAGAGGCTAAAAGCTTAAACTTTTACGGCAGAATAAGAAACGTGGGTTATATTTTTGATGGGAAATAATATTAAAAGTAACTTTTCGATGAATTTCCTCAAAAGAAGCGAATATCATCATTTATTAGTAACATTGCGGATCAATTCCAGAACTCAGAATGTCCATCACATATTTAGAGTAGTAAACACTAACTGACTCGTTTATTTATAAATTTTCCCATTAAAAAAGGTTTGGATCACAAAAAGAAACAGAAAATTAGAGAATTTTAGGGGTAATTCTGTGATTCTTTTCTATCGAGGCAATTAAAAAAACACCGACTGTGAACCCCTAGAAAATTATGAAGTTTTCTTATTACAGCTTAGATTTTATTTATCTGAAGCGTACGCTCCTTCTGATCACACAAAATCTCAAATTTTAATAATAATTAGGGACATTTATAATCTTATTATTTTTCGATTTTTCTGGTCTCCTTTTGCTTTCGCCAGTTCATTATGTCTAATTCCTTGTTGGGTCGGGCGGCAAGCGAATTACAGGTCCCACTTAATGTCAAGATGCAGTTATTCTAGGTCGACTGGTATATTATTCAGGCCAAGGTATACGATTCCGTCTGCATTGCTTGGCATACTTTCTTTAGTGTAACCCTATTTATTATAGCTATTATTGTTATTTATTATTTTATTCACCGCAACATATCATAAGGGACCGTCCATAAAATACGTTAACTTTTACTCCCACTCCGTCCTAGTGTTGTTCTGTTATAAAAACTGTAACGAACTCGACATCAAGCGTAACTATCATAGGTATATATGATCGGAATCATATAAAACCTACTCCGAAAAGTAATAAGGTTTATGTCATTGATGTTCTATGATAGATCGAGGCTATTTTTGACAGCATAGCTTGTCACATTTATGAGGCTGCCCGCTTCCTAGTGTCGTCTTAATATTTTACACGAAGAAACTATTAAATTAAAACAACACTTCCGTAGTTTGTTTTATTTATATTTTAACGAAATCACAAACATTTTATCTTTTCAGAAAAAAATGATTTGGAGTTTTCGCCTCACATCTAGGGAGTCATGTGTGACATGATGTGGGGTCACTAGATGTGTGGCGTAATTTAAGGATAATATTGCTATCTTTCCTTCAAACAGGATAATCTCAAAACTAAACTTATAGGATGAATATCTATATATATATATTTTAGTAATTTCTATAACAGTAAGAACTACAACGAACGCCGTTACGTGGTTGAGGAGTTAAAATTCTAAATCAAAGACCAGAAATTACAAAAGCGGAGGGTGACTGCCGACATAAAACAGGGATGTATTCTATGAATATTTCACTACATGATGTATAGCACCAAACAGTTTGCTTTATAAAAAGTTGTAGTATTATAATGTAACTCTTTTGAATAGTTCAAAACTTATTTTGCTTATCATCCATTCAGGACATATACAAATTACCAATAGTTTATCTTATGACCTCCTTTCTAAATAATGTAAACCAATCAGCATCATACATGAAATTTAAGTTATAAATCTCGTCTTCTACAACATCAAATAAATTCGTTATTTTTCCTACACCAGAAATTAAAAATTAAAGAGTCTCTGTCTTTTGTTAAAACATAAAAACTCTTATTTGGAAAAAAATATGAATAAACGAAATAATTCTCTATTGTTAGCTAGTAAAGGCTATAAAAAGTTTTGCGTCTATTTTGGTATTAAGCTAGTAAAATATTAATAAATTTGAAAGCTATTAACAAGGTATGTTTGTGTTGTGCAAGTCATAGAGTAATTATAAATAGTACTCTTGTTTATAGCAATAATTTGCTTGTCCTTCCCTTATTATTTATTTATAGTCGACGCAACATGTATTCTTCTTCCATATGCCTCGAACTGCCGTAATCTCAATATTTACTCCTTTCTTAAACACACGCAACGTACCTTTTCTTCGGTTCTTCTTTACGGTCTCACAATTAAAGCATCTGTTCTCACAACCCTTTAACCCTATTTATTTGCTTGCCTTTTGAGTCTTCTTAAATACGAAATATAAAATTATTTATTAGATCGGGCCGCGTAATAGAATTTTGAAAAAGTTATAATATAAAAATTATGACAAAAATAAAGAAAACAAATATGTTACCTTTTTCAAGTGCTTGTTGACCCACTTTGTGAATGTCTTCTTCTGTATTGCATCACGTTCGTCTGTAACAAAAGAAGGTTTATTGTGAAATTATATAATAAATTATTCATTTTCCCACATTGTGTTGCGGTAAGTGTCAAAGTTCGGTATGGAGGTTTCACTTCATAAATAAGTTCTCCGCAAGAAAAAGTGTATCATAAGTCATGTACACACGGCCTATAGATTATGGACTTTTTACCGGCCGCGCTTCGTATATACGTCCCTACTAACAGAGGTCTGCTTACGGTGGTGGTTTGAAGCGTCACGTGCGGCCGTGTGTACTTATGATACAGTTTTTCTAGCGAATAAAAAAGATCACTAGCATATTAACAATAAATAACATTTAAGTGAGTGAAATTGAGTTGAATTTCAATTACGAACTATCATTTAATCACTGCATTTTTACTGTCATATTGTAAAACAGGGACTAAAGTTAATACTGGGTTTAAACTATTGGTCGCCAGAAAATTGACAATGACATAAGAGAAAACGTCAAATTGAGACGTGTAGATTTATTTTGGCCGGATAATGGTTGAAAATTGGTACTAAAGTTAGTCCTCGTTTTATAATAAGATACGAGTCGATGCAACTCTGTCGGTGAATCCACAAAGAGTTTTGATAGCTGAATGTGTAGTTAAGTTAGTTCTAGAGTTCCGTGACCGACAATTACACTACGTATCTTTCGTCAGTTATGCACTGACTTTAATTTGATTTATAATACATGTACATTGTTTCTAAAACACTACGGATACTATTACTGGATCTTAACAGAACAATAAACAGTTGGTAACTAATATTTTTTTATTGCTATTGTTGCCGACAAAGGATATCAAATAATTTATTACTTTTTAATGTGCTTTCTTTATAAAATAAATGATTATATTATACGTCAATGTTTAAGTAACCAAGCAAGTCTTCGATTTCATTATTTTTTGCTGATTTTATTTTATTTTATACGTATAATGTTAAAGTTTCATAAAACATTTCTACTGAAGTGTAATGCATTTCACACAGACTTATCATTATATTAAAACATATGCGCATAAATTTCGCACTTGGCTTATTTTCTACAGTAGCTCTTATCATTGTGTCAAACGTTTACCCGACAAAATACGGTTGTATACCACGGGTGAACGAACTTGATACTTGATAGATACCATTCACTATGGGTCTATTAATAATCTACCCATTTTGGCACCCACACATCGTGCGATGCCAAATTTATTTATGGATCGGAAGTATAGACAGGAATGCTACAAGAAAATGCCAATCAATTAATTTGCAAGTACTGCGCTATAAGTGATATTAGATTTAAGAGTTTCTTTTGTTAGAATGAATCAATTACCGTGGAATGACACCCTGGTAAATATTTTTAAAGTCAACAGATGGAGTTGGTGTAAATGTTTTTTTTTTTTTCATTTTAACGTATTTAAAAAAATTAACAAATATCGTTAGTATCATTGGCGCTTAGTTTTATATGGTATGTAACATGTCTTCTCAGTAAAATTATTATACATATGTACACATGTAATTTCTCATGAGCTCTGGTAAATTTAGGGGGGAAATCTAATAAACATATTCAAAATGTGTAATTAAATTCGATCAAGTATCAAACTAAACAGTGTTTGTAAAAAATATTAGCAATTTATCATTCAGATTTAAATTCAAATGCGTTGTTCTAATTAAAGTTAATTTTAAGACCTACGCTTTATTTTAGTGCACAGACAAATTACAAGCTGTTTAAAATAATTCACAACGCAACATTGTATTGAAGTACCAGGCTGGCATAATACAAAGGAGCTCTCGAGTGCATCAATTGATTGAATTCAGTTCTCGACTGCATATTAACACTTTGCATAAATGGTATGTGGCAAATTGAGTGCAATATTCTCACGAGATTTCTGATGATTCATTTTCAATGTACTTATACCTAATCAAAAAATTAATACTACTTTTTGGTAACATCTAAAAAAAGTCTTCTTCAAGTAAAAAGTTCCTATTATTCACATGAAAAATGTACACTAATTAAATCAAGTAACAACAAAAATATCCAAGCTGAAATTAAAATTAATTTCAGAAATTTGACAATTTTGTGAAAGATAATGCCATAGGTTACGAAAATCTATGAGTAAAAATGATGTTAATCTAAAAAACAGAAAAACTGACTTACCAGTCAGACATTTCCCTTGAATGACAAAAAATACAGCGTTGATATAGAGAGCAAAAAATACCAAACAATATTTTATTGATTGCTCGAAAACCGAAATTAATTATATCCAACTAAAAAATTATACGTTAAAGCTTTTAAAGACACTGATCAAACAGAAGCAATAAAAATATATAAAATCTCTCATTCATCAACCATTACGCATAGTATGATAAAGTCAAGAAACCCTTGTCTCCAACAAACGCCACTATCACGTCTCGAGAGTCTATCGTAAGGCACCCGAAAAAAGTGACATTTTGTTGATGTAATGCTGTGCTGAACTATAAATGATTTATTAATCTTATCACAAAGAACGCGCCGAACGAAAACGTTGAAACAAACCGACCAATTGTCTAATTTACTGGTTGTTCAATTACTGCCAAATTGCCCGCCTTTACTTCTGAGAATGTCGAATCAATCGAAAACTGAATGTCTGTTACCATTATCATGAGTCAGGATAATAAAAAGGATACGAGTTCCTTATACATTGCTTCTTGTATGCGAATGAGGTTAAATAAAGCTGTAATTGAAGTAGCACTACAACAACGGCAATAGATTGAGATTGGTTAGTGCATGAATTGCTCCAGGTAACTATCAACTCACTATCAATTAAAAAAAACATCCAATTGTATAGTATCGTTGTAGGAGTAAACAAAGGACTGATCATTGATTTAGACTTTAGACATGCGGAAAAGATGTAGGATGGAATAACAGAACTTATTCGATTTTTTGAAAGCGGAGGATGTTAATGGGGACGGCCAAGGCTAACCCCGGATCTACGATTTCTTAACAGTTCCTTTTTAAATTGATAAAAAGGTACTGTTTAACTCTATTATGTTAAACTAGCTGTTTACCCACAAATTTGCCTGCTTAAATTATAGCCTCTGTCATCCGCTTATGATGTGGTTTCCCGTAGATGATTAAATTATTAAAATCGGTCCAGTAATTTCAGAGATTATTCAATGCAAACAAATAACCAAATCTTTCTTTTAATAATATAGTATAAATAGATAGCATACAATAGAAAATGTCTTTTGTAATAAGTAAAGAAACTTAATGTTAATCTTCTAGTAAATTTAAAATATACAAACAGGAAAGTTCACTTAACAGACAGACATTTCCCTTGAATGTGAAATAAAAGTACAACGTAGGTATAGAGAGTAGAAGAATACCAACCAATATTTTAATTAATTACTCGAAAACCAGATACACCTATTATTGTAAAATAAATCGGCTAAACCTTAAAGTTACTCAAATGTATAACTTAAAAGTTTTACTAGCTAAAAAAAATAACAAGTAAAAACAGTCCAATTTTACAAATAACTTCTTAATTTTTAAACAGTTCCGCTATCAATCTATGCTATCAAAATTCGTATACAATACAAATTCTCTTTTGTAATAACAGCAATGAGACTCAATGTAATCTTTCAAGGAGTTTCTCCGACATTAGATACGTTTTACAAATTAATTTACTCAACCAATATTTTAATTACGCAGACCACGCGCAAATGCCTTTACATCCCGCCACTTGATCTTTCAACGAGATGCAACGCAGGGACGCCACAAAGTCATCATATTTACATACTAGCTCCCGCCAGCTGCTTCGCTCGCGTCGTTCTGTATTATACATATGTACTTATAAACCCTCCTTTTGAACCACTTTGTATATTGATGATGCATTAAAAACCGAAAGCGGCTTTGTTTTATACTATGTATAGGTAGATTATGTAAAAACTTATTAATATAGAGGTAAACATTATAAAATGAAAGACTTGATTGTTTGTTTATTTGAATTGAATAGGCTCCGAAGGTCCAGAAGTGGACTGAACCGATTTTTAATCGAAGCCAAATTAAACGATGATAAATGCCAAATTAAAGCAGTTTCTAGTAACCAAATTACCCATAACGTGGCTTGATTTAATATTATTTCTGACAAGCAGTTTGAATGAAGTCAATGGCGTCAGTTTTATGGTATTGATATTTCTTGGAAACTACGAATGACATTTTCTGGATATCTGAATATTCATTGGTAACACAATATATCGTTCTTCACTACCGCTTTGTCGCAGCCCTAGAGAATCGTCATTTGATACCTAATCGGCGACAAAAATAACTAACCAATATTGCCAGACGTATTCTTCAAAATTACGATATTCTATTAAGAATACTAATAAATCTATATTTCAACAGCCCTGTTACTAGTATTTTATCTGATGAAAGTAGGTCAGTTTGTCGCCTACGCTAAAACAACTGTGGATATCCATTTTGCGATTATTCAGTTTATCGATTCGAATTGGTTGAACAAGCTTCATTAAATACGGCAACAGATATCTTTAAGAATTACCAGTTGAGGCAAGGAGGTATCATTATACTAACATGACACCTGAAGGCCTATAATATTTTCCGAAATACTAATAATACTTCAAAGACGCATTATTAGATAATTTATGATGCAACGGAGGTAGAACCTAACACTGCCTCTGATGTACAGATAAATCTTCAAGAATTTCGACAAAATTATAAAAACATTTCGAAATTTTCCGAATTTTTGTTCGAGGGCAAATAGAATAGGCTTTCAGGCGTTATGTTAATTCTTGCGAGTTAAAACTTTTTGTTAAATTTATGTATTTCAAAATCTTTAGGGCTTGACTTATAGATGAAATAATCTTATATCATCGAGGAACAGAGGATTGCAAAATGCGCGTTATAATAATTTTTAATTACCTAATTATAATTATTAGGTAACAAACTGACTCGCACATTTATCAATTTACCCTATAAAAGAGAGTAATGACGAGAAGAAATCGAATAAATTGTGAATCGACTTTTAACTTTTTTTGTTCATGTTTAAACTGTGATAAACCCTTGACACTATAGAAAAGCTTTTCGTTTTTAATAACATTTTTTTTGGATTGGGCGTTATTTATCGGTATGAAACCAATATTGAATTATTGCAACTCATTTACGACACGGTCACGATATTTCAACCAATATTAGTAGCAAGTCTTATCTTTCGGATCGGAAGGTGTTTTGTAGTATTATTTGGTAAGGACCAGTTTGTAAGTGAGGCTAAATTCTTCTTTTTCGGAATGCTAAAAGCTCGGAGTTATAGAGTAGAGGTATTACAGAATAAATTAAGATATTCTATCAAATTTTATCTCATAGGGTTAAGTGATAACGCAACCATAAAAAAACCCGACCAATAGACGAACAGTCCGTTTTAAAATATAGTCGTGGTCGAGCCGAGACCTCGAGGTTTGCACAAACATGTTGCTCTTGGAAAAATTAGTATTCTCCTCGTTTTATTATAATTCGGGCTTTGTTTAGTTAATAAAACTTGATAAGAGTGATTTGATGTATTCGCCTATTTAAGCCACAGTTGTAACACTATCCTTCATGTAAACGCCACCTTGAATATAGTTGCCGACCCAGTTTCGTTATCTATAACTGCATAGCAGAGCAATGAATAAAGATGTTTATCGCTGCCTTTGCGCTTCCTTACTCGGCAGACTACAGACCACAGACAAATTGTTCGCGCACCATCTCGTAGATGGTACAGATAATAAATTTTACTACTACAAACTCGTTTGGAATATTTGGTTAAAATTATTAAATCGTGGTGTAAAAGCCACGAGACAGAAAGACACACCTTACGATGAAATTAATTGTATTGTCATGAAATAGGTGAGCACAGAGCATGTCGAAACTCTGAAGTAAAAAATATCAGGCACTCGGTCGTCTTGTTTACTCACCACGAGACGTTCAGGACAGATTTTTCTGGAACTTACGTTTCGAACAATTTAACGTGTTAAAGATAAACACATATTTGGCAATTGGTCCATACTTAGGTAATAATCATGTAAGCTTTTGTTCAATTTTGGAGATGTGTATTTTAAGTCCCAACGCTAATGTCATTATTGATATGATAACGTTTTACCTTACACTTTATTAGGCGCCATGTTGGCAACCTTTAAATGGAACACCATTTTATCGATTGCGTATGTCACGGTTTCTTTTATTTTCAATGTCAATAGATGGCGCTAGTATTAAAATATATCTTTATTTTCGCATGGGGATACAAAAAATTAGTTTCAAAGAAAATTTTAACACAAACGTACTTTCAGTTTACTGCCTAAAATTTTATGTAGATCTCAAACAATATATGAATGCAATTATTTCCCAATTTAATGATTTTATATTCTTTTGTAGTAGCTAGGTATAATGTGGTAAAGCATAGAGGTTTATAATATTGTCTACCTCAAGCTAAATTCACCGTGACAGATAATAAAACACTATAAAATGTTTGTATGTTGCATCCGCATTCTATAGATAATAAGAAACATGGCGATAGCAGACTTATTTCAACAATAGACTATTCGCGTGATTATTTTTGACAGAAAAAAAATATATATCTGTAACAATGTCAGTTTCGGCTGCTTAAATAAATTGCCTGAACATTGATGAGAAAAATCTTGCAGCAAAAGTAAAGGCTTGATAAATTTGTAAGTTTTATTACGTTAGCTCATTTGTTCAAAGCTGTCGCCCGGATTACGAAGGTTTATGGGTTGGAATCCAATCTCGGACAGCTGGGATTGAAGTTTTTTTAAAGCATTATATTTTAGGATAAGTGTTGACAAAATTAATTTCAATAACTTTGATCAATTGCTTGCTATTAGAGGCCATAAAGAGGGCGAGTAAGTATGAAGAGAGTAATGACAGTGGATGAGGCAACAGCTGTATGTAGGGCTTAGGACGGTACTTTGTTGCATTCGGTCTTGTCTGCTTATCCCGCGACAGATACGGCGTCAAGATATAGAAAATGTAAAAACAAGATGAGCGCCAACCATAGATTTACTAATAATGAATCTAGGGCGACAACACTGGTTCAAAAATACAATAACTTTCTAGAAATCACCCTATGTTTTCGATGTGGCCATTTTAATGAATTTACTTAATTGTACATATAATTTTTCTCGAGCTCATAAGTAATTTGTTTAATATATTATTTCGAGATATTCGTACTGCATCTAAAGCTTCTAATCCACTTACACATTGAGTTTTGTTAATCTTATTGAATTCCGTTCGATGTTGCTAATGTTAGCCAAGAAGCCCTATGATTTTCATAGTAGCGACTTTATTAATGTTTATATAAAATTCTTCACTATCTAAGTGGTCGAGAAAGAAGACAGTTTAAAAATATCTCTTCTACTTGAAAATCTACTGATTCAAAATTGTATCTACGAATTCTGACAAAAATAAATACTACATACCTCTGGTAAATGATTTAGAACGCCGTGTGATTAATAAAATAACTAATTAAGAAGCTCGAAAATAATCCATAATCTTTGCTTTTTGTCTTGTTTAATATAATCATTAACAAATACATTGCATGTTAAATGGCTTCAAGTGAGTATCTACTTTTAGTACATAGAAACAATTTGCTGTCGGCCGATTGGACCCATTAACCGATTGGTTCCGATGTCTCAGGTCGGGCAGCCGGCGTCTTAGGGTCATTGGGCGCTCACTACATTGGACGCGGTTGTAACTCATAAAAAAGTATTGCTTTCTGTACACAATAGTGTTGTTGCAATAGTAAAAGTTTATCGATACTTTCGTCAAACCTTTGTGATCTTGATAATCAGTCATTGCTAATGATTGATATCGATAATATTGATAGAATAAATGGAAAAGTACATATCAATGTTTTGTAAATAAGAATAATTTCGTTTTAAAATTGCTATTAAAACAGGCTTTTGCGAAATTTATTAGAATTTTAAAACTTCGACAGGCACTGATTTTTGATTTGATATGGTTATTTCTACACTATATTCTAGTCGGGAGTCAAGAGTCTTTACAAAAACTTGTACAAATGTCATATATATTATTGTATTGAATATATAGTAAGGTGATGATTACATCTATTTCTGCAGCATATATATTGCACATGAATACGTAGACGTCACGTGAAGGTTAAGCTTAATACTATCAACGTAATTATACGTCAATATTATCTCACGTTAACTTTCTGCTTTCGTTAATATCGGTATTATTGAAAAACCTAAAATTAAGATCAGTAATATAAATCTTTTTTAAAAGAACGATAACAAAACTAGCAACAACACTGGTTCACACCGGGCTACGGCTTACAACGTTATAGCTTCAAGATATTTGGGAGCTGAATCAGTATTTGCTTCGAGCAAGTTCGTTGTTCCACTATAATCATTGTTTATCATTCAATGTTCTATAACATAACCTTCATGCTGGATAGTTTCTTTTCGAAACTTTTTCACTCAGAAATCGAAAACAATCAAGGTGCCGTGCCCTAATTTCCTAGACTCAATACTCGAGTCCACTATATTCCGCTTATCTTAAAGCAGCTCTAAACGGAGTGGAATTATCAAATCTAAATTTACTGCTCGTTCCAAATTTAACAGTTACTATTATTAATTAATTGTTTAGATCGTCTTTCATAATAATTGTCAGCTGTAATTGATATCATTATTATTTAACGTTGCCGTTAAGACTTTATTAACATACACTTGTACTAGTTTGTTATATTTTGCTAGACATCTTCAAATAAATAACATTGTCAGAGAAGAATACTTGACATCTATTTATTATAATCTTATCGGTCACTTTGTAAATGCCAACTGAAGAGGGCTCCCTTCCAGATAAAGTTCATGTAATTACATAGTCATAGAGAAAGACAGCTTTAAGATAAGTCGAATGTTTGATTAAACGAGTAAAAGAGACAACTCTACATTTATCAGTATTTGTACAAAATTGTCAGGATGCCAAGGAATTTGAGACATTCTTCTTATGAAATTGTAATGTTCCGGTTTCCGTTTGAAATCGAGATGGTTGTTTAAATGGTATGATTAAGAAATACATCGAAAACATAATAACGATCACACATGTTCAGATTTAAAAACACAAGTTGTTAATTGATTAATATTATCCAATCACACAATAGGTTTTCGGAATTTAGAAGATTTATACTTCACAACAAATGTTAATAGTGTAGCAAAATATAAAAATATTAAATGAAAGGTAAAACATCGCACTACTGGCAAAACCTATGAACATTAAGAAATAAAATTAAATAAAAATATATATTTTTTTAAAGTTATTGTTGCGTGGTTTTGCCAATATTACGCGGCTATAAAACATCTTTAAAAAAAAGAAAACAAAACACGAGCGCGAAGGAATGTGTGCCAGTGACACCGCATCAAAACAATGCAATGTTTAAATAAACAAATGCACACGCACATTCTCTATAACCCATCACCACGAACCTGATTGTTGTATAAAGAAATCCCAACAAGTTGTACCTTTGAATTTTGTCAAATTCTCCTCATACACGTGGTCGTGGGTCTCGGCCCCTTGATCACCTCTCTGCCTTTTAGGCTGATGAGGGCCGTCGTAAAAACCACCGTTGACTCCATCCTGCATAGCCTCTTGGGGGTCAAACCCAAGACGCTCCTTGTAGTACGCCTGCGTCGACATTATTGTTTCACGCACAAACACTGAACATAATTCGGAATTCGAACACTAACACACCACCGGCTAAACGGTCGCCACTTAAAGCCGGGGAACACTTGACAGTTCCGAATCGCACTCGCGCAATAATTATGAAAAGATCCGCCAAAACCTTTTCACAATCCGCGCTCCAGGGTCAATTTTAAACGATTCACCACTATTTTATTGCGATCGATGTCATCAAGTCACTGTTCTAAAAAAGGAAAGTTGTGGTGTACCCCTTGACATACACTTATTGATCTTGACACGATTTTTTATGGATTTAATTTATCAACGATTACTCACTTTAATGTCTGGCTATTTGCCGAGTTTAATAAAAAAAAAACTTGTTAATCTTAATATGGCAACTTTGTTATCAAATGTTAGTTTTAAATTTGGAATGCTTGGGTTACTTTTTTAATTGTTATTTTTAAGTTCGATTCGTTTAGTTTCGTCACAATGTTCGTATTGGAGTTTTCACATTAAGTTTCGTTATCATCTGAGTAAATAACGAAACGACGGTAGTACCACCTGTGGAGACAAAGGAAAACGGGGCTGATTTAAATATTGTTTACTAGGTCCAAAACCTCGTTGTAAATAATGAGTCATGAATTAAGTACTTTTGGAGGTGAAGTAATGACTGTATAGTTGGTTATGAGGGCGAGGATTTCGGTAATTTAGCTGATGGCCTCGTACAAAAGTTTTATTCTGTTTATAAGTAACATAATTTGTATATGTACAGGAACTTTCTGTATTACAAAGTTTCGAATTTATAACATAATTTTTTTACGGTTGGCAACATGGAAATTTTAGCACATAAATTTAGTTTCGTTTACCCCCGGTTTCAATAACCAAAAAACTATCCGTTTTTGCTACCATCCGTAGCATTTCCTACCGATGGTAGCAAAAAAGTGTTTCAATAACATACCATTGGTAGGTAAAGCTACCGACGGTGTGCTACTAACGGATTGATCTGATACTGATAACCGTTCGTAGGCAAAATGTATGAAAATGGCGCAAACAGGTGTTTCAATATCTTTCGGTAGAGCTGTCAAACTTACTATCCGTAGCTTATCTGTCAAATTTGCCTACCGGCCATTTTCCGTCGGTTATCGTAAAAATATTTATAAATCATACGTTTTTCCTTGTTAACTAATAGAAAAATAACAGTATTTCATTAAAAAAAATAATATTGTAGAAGAGATTGATGTGTTTTGTGGTTCCAATTAGAAGAATTTAAGTTGTAATCATGACAATGTTTGTACCTTTAAGGGCTCTTAATTATTGGTCCAGATGCTTTCTTCAATATGTTTCCGTTGAAAAACTTAATGATTTAGCTCTATATAATTATGAAAAACCTTGTTCTGATGAAACTGAATTTGCCACCTACTTGTACCAAACTTATACACGTTACATTAGTTTATACCATTTATTTTTTATTAAACACTGATATTGATTTAATTCTGAATAAAACCCAATTTGGATATAACTTATTTATTTTACAAATAAAAAACAATTCATAAAAATCTACATAATTTTTACATTATTCCATTGCATTTTTCTACGTTTGTTATACGATTTGACACAATCATTCCACTTTTTCTAATAACCATTCATTTGTCATCCTATGTCAATGGATCACAATTGTTCACTGTCAAATTCATTAATGTTATCTTGCAAATTCAAATAAGTATACTACAAATAACTTTATACAATTAACAATTTATAATAAAGGTGAACTCTATATAAAATTCCCGCTAAGCTTCTACGGAACATAAATCAACTTTACTTTTTGGCATAATTAAAGGCAAAGGGATATAGCACATACAACCTAGTCTAGAGTGACAATATTCACATTGAGGTTCACTTGGACGTTTTAAGTGTTTTGGAGCAAAAATTGAAATATATTAGAAAATGGTGAGGTATGTTAAAGTAACACGTACGCGTTCTTGTACCTACTAAATTGACAAAACACTGCTCATAACCATGCACCGTACCATTTTAATGAACTGTGTTTATTTATATTCCGAAATTTAATTTGAGATAAAAAAAACTTATATAAACAAATGATGTTATTTTAGGGGTTGCAAACATTTTCCAAAAAGTTCTAATTATAATTTTATTTTTGCAAATAATAATATGGAAATAAGATGTCTTACTTTTTATCGACTTCAATGAAAGAGAAGGTTTCTCATTCAAGTGTAACTAATTTTGTATAACAATGTGGGGATAAAAATGTAAGATTTGTTGACATTAGCCTATAAGAATTTCATTACTTTTTCAATTTTAAGTACTTTAAATTGTAAATCAATATCGAATAAAATACTTGTACAGTAGGTGGCAAATTCAGTTACATCAGAACCAGGTTTTTCATAATTATATAGAGGTAAATCATTATGTTTTTCAAAAGGTAAATCATTATGTTATTGTAGAAAGCATCTGGACCAATAATTAATTGGTAGTAAGAGCCCTTTAAGGTACAAACATTGACATAATTACAACTTAAATTCTTCTAATCTGAACTACGAAACATATTAAATTCTTCTACAATATTATTTTTTTAATAAAAAACTGTTACTTTTGTTTTAACTAACAAGGGAAAACGTGTTATTTATATTTTTTATATTTTTACGATAAATCAAACTAAATAAAAAAAAGTTTTAATTCAATGAGCCAAATGTTCCGAATCGCTGTTTCTTGCCTGCAGCATAAAATATTTCTATCCTATTTTTATCTAAAAAAAAAGAATTTTTAGTTAAAAAAAAAAAATTACTAAAAACTTTTAAAGAGGTAAATTTAAGCTATTTGTAGTAATGGTAACTCTTTTGTTTACATCAGAATTCCATTTCAGACGATAATTTGTTTCACAATAACACCACTTTTAAGAACCTAACTATATAATAAATAAGTCATAATAATTCCAAAACAAATTTCAAATTTAGTTTCGGTACGTAATCAGTTCACCTCTTTCCTATTGATGTCTCTGTCTTCCTTCTTACGATTTCGATTTTGTCCAAGAAATTATTAAATGTAAAGACTAACATTTCAGTATAATCATAATATTACCTAAGACAAGGCTGTATGGAAAGAACCCCTTTCCTCGAATTATATGATTACATTTAAAAAAATGAGCTACCGACAACCGTTCGTAGTTGGTAGGCGCCTACCGATGATTGTGAAACGCAAAAACGAATGGTTGTCGGTAGCTCAAAAAACGGTCGGTAGCTGCTACCGATGGTTGTCGGTATATTATTGAAACCGGGGGTTAATGGTTCATCAACGGGGCTGTTAACAGTTTCATATATTATCCTTTTAATTGGTTTCCGCTTTTTTCTTATTTTGATACATGTATAATTAGTTAAGCTTATTGGATGTAAATTATTACCTACAAAGACAAACTTATATTTAAAACGTTTCAATATTTGTTACGTTTAAATAAGGCCACAGTTACACCTATCATAATAACATATTGCCATTGGCTACTGTTTACCGAAGTATTTTACATAATAATGCAGATACAGATAAATCCTTGAAGACATATTGTATCCCTATGACCTTGTAAAAATAAACAAGTTTAGATTATTAACTACTAATGACAGATAATATTGTTTCATTCTGATTCATCGACTAACTACTTTTCAATGTTTTCGAAGACACAAGTTACTACTGCACATATACCGTCCCAATTTGCTGTTTGTAAAAAAAATTGTAGTTAAAAAATTACGTAAACGATATATACTTTCAACTCCTATTTCAATCTCGCAAGTGTATTTTACCATTACAAGTAACACTGTCATATGCACCGATTTCGTAAATCTACAGCGGGAGATTGTACGGAGAATAACCAGCAAGAAACTCGACAAGGGCTGCTTGCTTCTCTCTTACATTTCATTGTACAAAAATAATCAAAATAGTTTCGATTTGTTTTTACAAAATTATTTTCACGACAATTTTTCAACGAGTACTTTGTCCTGTCATAATACGACGAAACGACGACGCCTCGACATCACCGGTGTGACAAAATAGCGTTAATTTGACACGCAACGGCTCATTATGTTCGCATAAGCTTGGCACATTTTAATTTTTTCATAAACACGCGACTGAATTTTTAACTCCAATAGTTACCGCTAGAGGCACTATAGAAGAATATATAAGTCATTGTTGTTTTTAGTGAATTCTGCATCATAATACTACAATACCCGGCACGAATGTAAACCCAAAATGCGAGTGTTGTGTAGATTTGTTACTCCAAGTTTTTTGAATATGTATACCGCCTTTTAGAAAAGTATTCTTTTTAAGCGTTTTTAGATTCAGTTACATTTTTGTTTTTGGGCAGTATTTACTCTAGTGGGTACTGTGCATATATTTAAATATCTTTCAGTAGTATCGATTAATGATTGACGAAACTACTCTTTGCGGTCAAAGGCGATAGATTATTTTAGAAGCATAGTACTACTGATCTTAAGATCGTGACGCCATAGCAACAGAAACCTACACATTGTTTGTTTCTCCTATGGCTCTTCACTCCCTAGCGGTTTCTTAGTCATATAGTTCTCGCTGATGATGCTTATCGTACTTCTATTCCCGTTATTTTTTCTTTCTCGCATTTGTCTCTTTCGTTACAAAAACACTTACAAACTCAAAATTCAGTTACAAGAAAGGAATAATTATTTAGAGAAGAATCATAATTTTACAGCTTTACAAAATAAAATAAAAAATGTATTAATATTACAAGAGTTCAAAGACAAAAATGAAGTGTATAAAAATAGTATTAGAGGATAAAGTCTACCTTTCGCAGGTAATAAAACGGATCGAAAAAGAAATCGCAGGTCCAAATCTTAATCAGTGTTTTTTTTTCGATCGACACTTTATAAATTAATTTATAGATTACTTTAATCCCAGATAAATAATACTGTTCTTTTAGCCATTGACAAGTTTATATATCGTCTATGAAGAGTCAATAAATAATAACTGCAAAAATGCAACTTTTCAGGAGACGAAAGAAACGTTTCAAATCTATTATATTGGTTTTTTCAGTACATTGCAATTATTGTTTATCTTACAAAAACATAAGAAACGAACCCAAAATCTTTGTCACTATTGTGTAGTAATCTATTTTACAACGAATAATATATAAAATAATACAATAAAACAAAAATTGACAAAATATCAGTTATTATTTATTGACTCTTCATGGGCGATATATATATATATATGACCTTTCATATACGCAAATGCCTAGCGCAAGGCGCCGCATAATGAATATCATAACTTTAGACATTGCTTAATTTCGTTAGGTGATTCCTAGTTAATGGTGAAATGCATTTTTACATTAGGCGATTCCTAAATATTTCGGCGACAGATTTGGGCGACTCCTAAGTTTAATGAAAACGGGCATTAATATAAATTGCTTCTTAATCGTGTATAGTTAATGATTCAACTGAAACTAGACAGTTTCAATTAAGCTTTTAGTGAGTAATTAAATAACATTAAAACAGTGTAATATGATAATGAGCACAAAGGATATGTTG